CAAAGCACAGATCATGTATCTCTTGTGGTATGAAGTAATTTCTTTTAACATTCAGCTGTGCAATTCACCAATTCCCAGAACTGCATGTTATAGTTTCCATTCTGAACAAAGCTAAGTACCTTCCCTTCCAGGGCTCTTTTGTCTTCTAAATGCATCCTCCTTGGTTGTATTTCATGTTATTGTGTTCTCATTGCTTCTGTATAAATGAACATATTAATCCTTAATTTTCTAGGTTTCTTGCTCTGTTTGTCAAGGAAGCATTTTTCTTCTCTCAGAAGCTGCAGATGCCGATTACCACCGTGCCAGCTTCTTCCTATCTGGAGTGGTCTGGCAAAAGGAATTAGTTCAGGAAAGTTCATAAAAATGTTTATTTTCTTTTAACTTCTACTCTACTTCACAGCTGTCTCATTGTGTTATCATCACTTTTCTTTTGAGTACACTTAGGAAAAATCCATCACAGCAGGTAAGGTCTGTAGGGTTGGAAAGCTGACCTTCCAAGACAAGGAGTAGAAATATGGGAGGCAATCTTTCTCTCATCAAATGACAGTTCCTCCACAACTCTTTTACCCTTTGTGGTATCACTGAGAAAATGCAAAACCTCAGTTTTGGCTTGTTGCAGCATTCATGATGGTGAAGAAAAAGCTGTCAGGATTCACTTGTCAGCAGCTTAGGCAGTTGTGGAACTTGAGGTCCATTTGAAAATACTTCGGGTATCTGTACGCAGTAGATCTCAATGCGAGGGCATTAAAAACTGCCATAGAAGCCCATATGAGCAGGATGTACTCCAGTGTGTAGGGATAAGATGAAACACACACCGCTAGAAAGAAGTATAAGTGCAATACTGCTGGTGACTTCACGTTTAAAAACATGGTGTGTTAGTGTAGAGAAAACTAGTCTGTAGCATCCAATTAGTGTTGTTGCATTTTCCTGAGCTGTCTGGCTTACTCTGCATCCAGGCAAAACTGTTCACAGAAACAGTATATTCCCTCTTCTATATATCCCTTCAGGAGAAAAATTAAAAATAAAACTGAAACTGTTGCTATAGAGGTGTCATTCATAAAGATAAATGCCTAAAATGAAGCAAAGAATGCATGGAATCACCTTTCTAAAACTCCATCTGCTCAGCTGTGAAAGTATCAGGGAAGAAACACAAAATGCATGTGAGTTAGCATGTAGTTGCATAAAGCTATCTGTGAGATCCCAACTAGGACTCTAGGAATTTTGAAAGAAGTTCATCCCACCACACCTGCTTTATCCCTGCCTGTGAGAAAGGAAATAATAAATAAATAATAATTAAAAAAAAATAAATCCTTGGATAGACAAAAGATTCCTTCTCCCTTTGAGTACTGCATCATTGCAAAAAGCCCAGTACCCCAAAACAGCATGGGAGGTGAAGGAATTGGCACTTATTGCCACCAGAGCTCTTCCAATCAGTTTGATGGTGCAGTGCAGCTACAATGGCATCTGACTCATGCTCAATGAGCATCAGCTCTACTCTTGTTTAACAATGCAACTGGTGTACTATGGAAATTCTAATTTATATGCTAGTAAAAGAATACATATGCTGGTTATTCAGACATAATCTTGGGTTGGCCTCACACCTCTTACAATGAAGCTACTGATACTTATCTATCATCACTCATACAGGGCACTGCAAACCATCCTTGAAACAACTCATCAGCAACTGGTAAACTCTATTAAAACTGTAGCAGTATTAATAACTGATGTCTTCACAACAGAAAAGTCTGAGAAAGCCATTATTTGTCACAGGATGATCCAAAGGCTGTTAATCTCCTGTCTACACCTTAAGAAAGAAAAGAGGAGAAAAATCTAATTTAAACAAGTGCTAAATTCAGACTGATGCTAAGTGAAATTACTCGGGAGGCTGAGGTATCCAGCCATGGTCTTCAGTAAAAAAGAAAATTATAGGGTCTATCAATTAGAGAAGCGGTGCTCTGAGCCTATGTGCTGGCATGCTTACAGTTTTTTTAATGTCTGGCAGGATGTTTTACAAACTAAACTCAGCAAGATGACAATTCCACCAGAAGGTGCTTCAGATGGTTTTGCTAATAATTTTGATCAGCTGAAATGGAGAAAAACATCACTTCGTTTATTTGGCTCTTCCAGAACCTGTCAAATCTCAGCAGAACCATTAATTGCTCCCTTCTGGATCTCCCTCCCATCTCTGCCACCTTCTTCCAGAAAAGACACTCATCAATTTCATTTTTATTTCTACAAGTATTCTGCATAATCAGCCTTTGTTCCCAAAACAAACTTTGGTCATTCTTTGTGCGCTTCCTTTGCTAGAAGGAAGTGCCATTTCTTGAGAATATTCATTGGAGGCTGGTACTGCTACAGCGGCAAAGATGTAAGTGCTAACCACCATATATTGGCTTTTGTTTTAATAGCCTTTTAACCAACTTTGTTAATGGACTGAATGCAATTTAGATATGGAACTTGGCTAAAATGTAGCTTCAATTGGCTATTAAAATTTAAGAGCCAACTAAGATAGCTAATTACAAAAAAGCTCCAGTGATAATGCTAAGCAGAATTAGTAATAGCAAATGACAGTCTGTCTAGTCTTATTCCCAAAGGGAAAGAAACTCTTAACTGAGAAGTCAACCAGACAACGTGCAGAAAACCTAATTGCATTACTGGTATTATGGCATCCCAAATCTGGCAGCTCACTGGGACAAAACAGTGAGTAAAGTCTGTCAAACTACTCAGGAAAGCAACTGACCCCCTTCTTAATGTTAGCTGAAACAGATATTAGGAATTATGTAATTATTTTATATTAACTTATTGGGAAATATTCCTGTAAAAATCATCAGATCAGCACCATCTAAAAAATTTCTTATACCCATTCTGAATTTGATTCTCTCTCCAGATATTTTAGATTGGGGGAAAAATATAAACAATCTGTCTGCAAAATGCTCAAGCACTAAAAGAAACATTTTGTGCTTCATTATCAATATCCTCATTACACCATCAGGTAAAGTGCCGACTAGTTCTCCTGTGAAGATTTATCATGTATGGTGGCCACTTTGAAACATAGGTAGCGGAGTCTTTAACATTCCCTACTCAAGTGTCTCCCTGCTGTGCCTGTAAATGTCAGTCCAGTTTTTTCACGGCTGTGCGCACAGATTAGAAACAGCAGGAGAGCTTGGGAGTATGACTACAATACCAGTAAGGACACTTGTCTTCATGGCACTGCTCAAGTGATTCTTGGAATGCAGGACCCTGCTGTTTTCTAATATTTACACACAACTGGAGTCATCAAGAGCAGTAAATGGAGTCTAAAGGCAGCTTGCTTCTTTTGTGTTAGGGGCTTTACTTTCAAATGGGGATATCAACAAAAACCTACTACACCCTCCGGTGTATTTCCCCATGGCTGTTTTGCAACCCAGTAAAAACACGTGTGCAAGCACATACTGTAAGCAACACAGACATTAGACCTGCAGGTATTATCACAGCCTTACACTTGGCTCATCGTGACTGTCCCACCCTTTAGACATCATTGCACTTAGAGTGAGCCAGAGACATTCTTGCCTGTGAAGGCTGTAGTTTTGCAGTCTCTGGGGAGCAGACGCTCACCTAGAAGGGAAAGCTCACTTTTTCTTCACAGAACACTTGACAGTACAAACTTTTCCCAGGACATGTTTGGGGTGGGAAGAGGTAGGGTGGCTTATGAAATCTGCACCTTAAAACTTTTTTTTTTTTTTTTAAATTATATGGAAATGTCTGTGTTTGTAGCATTTTGCTTCAGTAGCGTCAAAAGAAAACACACTCCTTGAAAACTTGGAAAGTAAAGAAAGCAAGTTTACCAGTAAGTTACTAAAAAAATTAAAATGTCAAACAACTAAAGTACAAAAGAATGATGATACTCTCAGTATGCAAGACAAGCAAGAGAACACAATATGCTTTCCTGACAATAGTTCCTCAGAACAGCGTAACATACTTTATGAACAAAATTATTAAATGAAGTAATTAAAACGATAGTTTGATTTGAGGAGTTTTAAGTATAAGAGGCTTTAGCAGTCCTGTTTTTACATCTGAAACAAAGAGAATACTATGCTTGAAGTCGCCAGACGCACTTTGCTAATACCCAGCAAAATGAGTCTGTACAGCAGTCAGAACAAACATTTTAAATGTTATTCCAGTTTATTTTTAAACAACGGATTATTTTGTTTTCAATACATAACCTCATCATTCATTCAACATTTTATGCTACAACATATTTATTTCACATTACACAATCAAGCAAGCAGAGCACTGGCCATCCACACAAATACACTACCTATTGGCTCATAGGGATTCCTTTTGGCTTGCCAAACTTCATAAAGCAGTATCCCTGATAAGAATTATGTTCATGCCAAAATTATATGTATTGTTGCAGTATCTAAATTAAAAGTAGTGGTATTTTACACTCAAATTAAACACTGCATTTTCTGACTTACAACTCACAAAGACTCAAAGCCAAGCAGGGAAATAGGTTTAAGAGAGGTTTTGGTATATTAGATGCTTCTCAACTATTAGAAAAAGATAAAACTTTTTTTTTTTTTTTTTTTTTTTAAATGAGAAGCAGATGTGAGTCAAGCTTTCACTGGAACTAGATATTTTACAAAGTTATTCTTCATAATATAACTTTTCTAGCATTTCCACTAATATAAAAAGAAAATCTAAGAGGTACAGAGGGTTTGAGAATGGACATTGGCTTTTGGTTGGTCTTCTCTGCCCTGGGCCCTATGTCTGAAATTCTGGTCTCTTTCTTTCCAGAGAAACTCTGAATAATTGGAAAAGTGATATAAACATGAATACTACGCGAAAAACCCTAAAATTCACTACCTGTCCTCTAAAGAATTGTTTAAACACATTTTATAACAAACTAGAATGGAAGGATGTGATTTTTGTCTTATGTCCTCTTTTTTTAATTTATACACTTGAGAAATACGAAGATCTCTACCATTTCAGACTTCATCCCCGTGTACATCTAAGTGACCTTCAATAATTAGAAGAAATCAGATGCAACACTGCTGTTCCTCACAAAGTATCCATAATGAAACTAAATAAGGCTTTATTTCTACATTATAAAGCAGAAAAAAGCACTTTCTTTTAGTTTGCCTTTAAGATACAAATTTTGTATATAAAGAATAAAAATGAATCCTCACTTCAAAGTTGGCAAAATTTTGCATTAGTATTTAAGTATACATAAATTATGCAAATATTTTAATAAAACATTTATTCTTCAAAATCAGGTACAAACAGTAGTCCATGTTTTTACAGGATTCATCATTTAAAAAGGAAAGAAAAATATTCCAGTGCTACAGTAACTGAAAAAAAAAAAAAAAAACCAAAACCCAGAGATGAGTCAAATTGCAACTTAATTTGTTGCTCCATCTATTATTTACTTCTGGACTCTCTTTCTGGTTGCTGTGCCTTTCCTGGGTTTTGGTGAGGTCATCTTGCGGGTTCTGACAGCTACTGCATCTGCAATTCAAACAGAAAAAAGACAATACTTTCGATAAAATAAAATAACAGAAATAGATCACGAGAAAATACTTGCAGTACTTAAGAGGACTGATAAACTCAAATTATTCATTCAGTTTTGACTGGGAGGCGGGTGGCACATGACATGGACTCAGAAGAATTTACCACAATTTCTGGGCTCCGATTTTCTCCCACAAAACACATTGTACAATTCAACAACTCAACCAGTACCATTACATACAGTTGAGCCAATTCAATAGCTCACCTCCACCAAAAGATGAAGAATCAGATCCTCTTCAAATCCTAAACCCTTCCTCCCCGTTCTGTAATCCCTCCCAGTGTTAAGCCATTTTTGGTGCTCTTCAGACCTTGTGCTAAGCTGATCCAGCTCCACAGCCTGGCAAAGAACTTTTTTTTTTGTCTAGTATTCTCATAGTTTAGTGAGTTGCAGCAGCTTAGAACATTCTGAATTGAGCTTATAGAAGGGGAGGTGGAAGGCACACAGGTAGAAAAAGGAAGATTTTTTTGTTTGGCAGTGTCCATCTGTCAAACAAGCTCAGCTATCAGTGCAACTTTACCTACAGATTTCAAGCTATTATTTGACACTATTTTTTTTAAACAAAAGTAATGAACAGTGCCATCTAAATAACATTTCTAACAAACCTGGCAGGTAGGTTGTTCGAAGAGACCATACTTAAATGCAATAATAAACTTGCACTTTGACTCTTTCCTGCCCACTAGCAGGGGGAAAAAAAAACAAACCAAACCAAACAACACAACCATAGTTCATTTGTGTGAATTACATTCAACTGTAGTCACTTTGAGAAAAAGATATTAGCTATAAGAAAAAATACTACTATTTTCAAAAATGCAGTACCAATGAAATATTTTACATCTCCCTAGTCACAGTATTTTTTTTTAAAATCATTACTTCTTCCTTGAAATCAGTATGCCTAACTATTTAAGTCCTTGTTTGTAAAATTATATATAACTCTACAGTTCCTGTCAACTTCTTAATCTGCATTACTGACAAAGAAAAAAGGTAAAACTGAGTTTCATGGAAGTCCTTAAGAAGGCAGCTGCTTGCATAAGGCAACAGCCTTTGAGCAGTATGAGTCAGTGATCATTCAATCTCAACGAGCAAGTTCTGGGGAAAGCAAGGAGGCAGAGAACAAAAGTCTGGAATCTACTAAAAATCAAAACCGCACCAAGAAAAGCAACTCTTGTAAACAGTTTTGCTCTCGTGTTTAATTTTACTTAATTTGCTCTTAAAATGTTGATATGAAATTAAAAATACCAAAATTAACTTTGAAGAATTTTTCCATTATTGAAAGTGAAATGGAGAATGAAAAAAATATTCTTGGTCCATTTCTGTACAAAAGCATTTGCTGCATTTAACATAAAACTACAAATACATTTTTGTCAGACAATAAATCTTTGAATACTAACTCACTAAAAAAAAAAAAAAACCAAACCAAAACAACAGAAAGCTCTGGTGATTGTCTCTTATTGAGCAGAGCAGAGCAAAGAAGGACCAAAGTTTTCTCTTCAAGAAAAAAAAAACAACAACTTGATTTTCTCTTTCATTAGTCTTCACTGATTTTGTCTGTGGTAACTGATTTTTCTTCTCATCCAACAACAGACTGTATAATCAAATGCAGCAAAGACAGATCAAATTTGTGTTCTATTATCAGAAAGACTGTCAACATGAAAATTATGACCTTAGGAAGGAAATACTACAGGTGTTTGCTTATAGAGAAAAAAATAAATGAGTTATCAGGTTTTCATGTTTGTATTTCAGAAATGTAGTATTTCATGGTTGTCACAGACAATGCAAGCAATTAAAGCCTACTAATACCTAACTCAGTAAGAGCTTACCCATTTCTAGTTGCCCATGCTGCAACACCAAAGAGAAGAGCGCTACCCTGTCTCTGGTTTTTCCTTTATCTTTATTGCATTAATAAGTTCTTCTCAAGGCTTTTCTAAATAAACCATGATCACAGAGAATCTCTATGTGAATCACAACAAAAAGGATAAAAAAATCCTTGTCATGGCTCTTTTATTCAAAATTTCAAACTTTAGCAGTAGAAATACTCTCTTAAACTATTAGATTAATTATGTTAAACTCAGATTGACTGCACTCAACCCATGTTTAGCTTCAAAGTTTGCAGCTATTTGAGAACTGAATGTTTTCTGTACCAAAAAGCTCATCTGTGTTTTCAAAATTAGCCTGATAACATATATTGTCCCCTCCTCACAAACTTTTATTGTGGGAGAAATGTCAATTCTGCTTCTGAAAATAGAAGAAGTCCTATGTGGGCAGCACCAAAAAATAGCACCAACAAGGCTGTTACAAAGAAAAGAGAGGGCTTTGATAAAGCAGATTAAATGGAATTAGGTTAAAACAGCAACAGTAATGAGGAAGAATTATATAGGCAAAATTAAACCAGATGGTGTCACTGCACAGCTGGTTTTGAGACTGGAACAAAGTTCAGCAGAGGCATAAAGAGTCCCACAGGCTCTACAGGAATTATTAGACAAGTTGACTGTGATATCTGATCCTCTCTATGCAAACAGTAGTACAAAACAACTTTACAAAAGAAACCCAACAATACTGTGTATAGTCTTTGTCTCCATCCTTCAAGAAAGTACTGAGAAAAATGGGGTGGCGGGGGGCAAATCAGGACCATTTTCATGTCCAGAGTGGATAGGACAACTAATATGCTTAAGGGAAATTCATATTAGGTACTAAAAATATCAAAAGAAAATACTTCCTCTTATCCCAACTCTTCTTAGTGGTAAGGACAGTGAAGTATTACAAGTGGTGTTGACCAGGGATGTTTTAGAATCTTAATCATAGAGATTTTAAGATAAAGTATTGGTACGTATCCAGATTAACAGAGATGTAGATAGATAAGCCTGTCTTCAGGCAGATCACCTCTTGATGTCCCTTCTCATTTAGATTTCTGGTTCTACATACACCATTTTACCAACATACGTAAGCCTTATAAGTAAGAGAAATAAAACTGTACTCAAGTCAATAAATGAAAGTTTCTATAAAATGACAGAAGTTCCTTTGACAAAAATAAGCAGACACCAGAGTCCAAGTTTCCCACTTAATTGCCTGCTTTGATGGAAATGAGGACAGTGAGAGATTCTGAGCATGAAAACACAGCTACCAAGCAGATGAAATCAGGTATGATTTAGGTGTTAATGGTGACTTCCAGGTTACATCACAGGCTAGAATATTTGAAAACAGAACCACATACAGAATCGACTCTAGGCAAACAACAGACAAACACCTGACAAAGCCTGAGCACATGCCAGTCTCTGTACAATGGCTGAAGGGTTCTAGCAATTCTAGTCTATGAGAGATCTTAAACTAGACTTGTAGTAATCATCATTAAACAACACAGCTAACATTTTTCCCTCAAAAGTAGCATATGCAGTCAAGTATATTGATCAGACACAGCAAGATTTCCTTTCTTATAAAAAAAAAAAGGATTTAATGTGCGTGCACAATGTCACACAAACATTTTGCTATATGTTTATCTCTAAGAAACAAAGGTCAATAAATCTAGAGAGTTGGGCCATGTGGCAGAGAGTTCTCAAGTGGTTTCTGGAAGAGATTTTCTCAGACTAGTCTTCATATAGATGGGGCTTAATCATCATTTCTGTATAAGCACCCAGTGTGCCACAGCAGGACAGTCTTATGAGAGAACTGACATTTATCTAATGCTGGCAATTTCATGCCACATATACTGAATTGCCACAGTTAATCTGAAAAGTGATGAAGTAGGAACGAGAGGTCCTAACACAACTCTCCCTAGTCAACTAGATACAATCTTGCATATGCCACTATATCAGATCTCAGTGCAATAAATTAATCCAAGAACATGTTTTGTTACTAATTTAAGCAACTAATTGTGGACTTGTAATTTCCGAAGGAGACAAATTTAGGACTGTCTGTTCTTCAAAATTCTTCCACTGACCACAGTATCACTTTGTCTTGCAAAATGTGCTTCAGTCATATTCCAGATGTCTTTGATCATATCAAATAACCAAGTCATTTTACTGGATGGCTCCCTAGAGACCTTGTTCCTAAAACTGCCCCTTAAAAGTGTTCTACAATCATTTCCCTAAAAAGGGAAAACAACAGAATGGAACCTATGCAATTGCATATGGAAGGAATAAGAAAAAAAAAAAAAAAAAAAAAAAAGCATTGGAAGCTGAAAGACTATGAAAGACTACACTCAGCATCCAGCTGCAAACATCAAATGGGAACTGAAGCCAGGCTGTGCAGCATTTTATGAGTTAAGCATCACACTAGTCTACCATTCTCAAATCAGTTTGAGCAGTTTGAATATGAAGCCAAGGAAGAGCTACTTTTCTTTTAAGATGATGAAACAAGGAAGAGTATGTAGTGCCTTGACAAGCCCTTTCCTAACTTGGCCAGAGAACCCTGCGTAGTTGATAAAATCTTGTAGTTTGACACTTCTCAAACAAGAATTTTTCAGTATTTTGAAGGTTGTTGAAGCAACTGCAAGGGCAACAAATAGTTTTGGTTAGTTGGCTTGTTCTCTTTTCTCGGCAGTTCTTTTCTCTACAAAAACTCAGAAATAAGATTCAGAAAAAAAAAAGCAGAGACCAGGAGAATGCAAATATGGACTTGAATTCCAGGAAATATATGATTGTGGAGTGGAGATGAGAGAGAAGTAGGTAGGTTTGTAGAGTTATGGGATGGAGTTTGGCTTTCAGTACTCTCTTCTTCCAAGTGCTCTGTTTCCTGCAACAAATAAAGCCGATACATTTCCATATGATACTATGGAAAAATATCAGGATGCAAGAATGTATTATTTGATTAGTTTATGCCTAAGTATTTCCTAAAGATATTAATGAATCTATGAGTGTTCTTTTAAAAAATTTAATATAAAATTGTTCCACATAAAACTGAAACTGATTTACATCTATTTGTAAAAACTGCTTTACTGAAGACATTC